ATTAAATTGAAGGCTTTATTTAGCATAGTTAGAATGATCCGATTTAGGTCAAATATGTTATACCGTTTTGTTCGATAACTTGTTGCCATTTTGAAGGTAATTTCATTATGCCTCTTCATTATCCCTCGTCCCTATTGGCAAAAAACTGGGACAGTCGATTTTCACAAGCTTCTCTTGAGGCGAATTTTTCACCAGCAAAATCATTCGCCATAGACAGGAACAGGTGGTAATCACTTGGTGCCAGGTCCGGACTATAAGGTGGATGCATAAGAACCTCCCAACCAAGCTCCCGGAGCTTCTGGCGAGTCATTATCGATGTGTGTGGCCTGGCGTTGTTTTGATGAAACACAATTCCTCTTTTATTGGCCAAAGCCAATTTTACTGGCCGCTTCTGGGCGATTGCTTCTTTCAGACGGTCCAATTGTTGACAGTACAGGTCCGAATTAAGAGTTTGGCCGTAGGGGAGCAGCTCATAGTAGATGATTCCCTGCCAATCCCACCAAACACACAGCAAAACCTTCCTGATCGTCAATCCTGGCTTGGCCACCGTTTGCGCCGGCTCATCGCGATTCGACCACGACCGTTTTCGCTTGACGTTGTCGTAAGTGACCCACTTTTCATCACCAGTAACCATTCGCTTCAGAAATGGGTCGATTTTGTTGCGATTCAGCAGCGATTCGCAGATGGAAATTCGGTCCATGAGGTTTTTTTGCGTTAACTCGTGTGGCACCCATACATCGAGCTTCTTTTTGTATCCAGCCTTATTTAAATGTTTCCAAACGGTTTTTTGTGCAATGTTTAGCTCCTGGGCAATCGAAACAGTGCTTACATGACGGTCGGACTCGATTTCCATTATTTTATCGACATTTTCGACAATTGGCCTTCCAGAGCGTGGTGCATCTTTGACATCAAAATTACCGGAACGGAATCGACGAAACCAAAATTGCGCGATATTGATTGTTACAGTATCAGGACCATAAACACTATTCACATTTTCAGCCGCCTGGCTTGCGTTTTCGCCTTTATCGAAGAAAAACTGTAAAATATGGCGTATTTTCTGTTTGTTGGTGTCCATCTTTGACACGCTCTCAAATAATACTGACTCAAGCAATCACAAAACTATCTGAGAAGTTTTTTTAGTACGAAATCTTATCTTTCTAACGCCATTTGGCGTAACCCGATCGCACTTATACAACGCGAGATACAGATTACTAAAGCCATCTATTCGAAAAATAATAGATTTCTTTTTACTACACCTAATAATACCTCTCCTCGTATCATTAAGCTCTCCCGCGATTGCACTTCGCCCTCTCCCCGGTCACTTGGATTAAGTTCCATGACCGAAAGTCAGGGCATACGGCCGTACTGGCGCAGCTGGCGTTAAAGTGCATCCCTCTCGGCACATTAACCCAGTTTGGGCTCTTTTTCGAAATGCGTCCGACTCGTGTGTCCGTTTAGCGGAGCATGAGCAGAAGTTTCCACTTCGTCCTCCGTTCGACCCCCGGCTCGTTAGGAGCCTCAGGACGAAGCGAAGCGCCTCCCCGATTTGCGTCGGTCCTTCCCCACGGCTATCTTGCGGTCCGGAACCCGGACACGACCAAATCGGTCTAACGATTCGGTTCCTTGTTACGTTTACCCCCTCAGTTCCGCATGCGCGTGGAGCTTGGACGTAACAGTATAGAACAATTTGTTTGCCAGAAGTCATAAATGAATTGCGTAGAACAAACCGAAATCGTCGCATCATCCTTCATCATGATAATGCCAGCTGTCACATAGCACGTCAAACCGTTGATTTTTTATCCAATAATAATGTCGAGTTGATGACTCATTGTCCGTATTCACCTGATTTATCACCTAATGACTTCTTTTTGTTCCCAAACATTAAAAATAAGATGCATGGTGAGCGATTTGAGTCGCCTGAAACAGCTGTTGAAACATTTCGTACACTGATTTCTGAAGTTACAGCCTTAGAGTGGAAAAAATGCTTCGAAAATTGGTTCGAGCGTATGCAGAAATGTATCGATCTTAAAGATGAATACTTCGAAAAACAATAAAGCCATTTACCGAATTTTACATGTTTTTTTTATATTGTTTGCAGAAACTTTTCTAGCAGCCTAGTAGTATTTCACTTATATACTACTACCTAAGTAGTATTTCACTTAGGCACTAGATAGAATTTTGCGGGGATGTCAAGATGGGAAACTTAGTTGGGGCTATCTAGCGCTGGCCAGTGAGGCAGAATAATAATAGCCACATTTTAATGTAACTATTAGGTTGTTAACTTAATTCCTATCGTTTCTTTATTTCCAAAATTGATTTGTTTTGGGGGAAGATTCCTATCGTTTCTTTATTTCCAAAATTGATTTGTTTTGAGGGAAGATAAATGAATATCTTAATTAAAGTAATTTCCTTTAAAATTATATAATAATAAGGACGAGAAGGGCTATAAGCCTAACGAATATTTTAAAATTTTAAATTTTGATGACACGTAATAATAGTATATACAAAAACAAAAACAGATATACGAGGGTCGTTTGAAAAGTCCGTGCAAAGTCAGAGAGATGACACTACTGGCGCGTATCAAGGTTAGATTTAGTTAGTAGCATCTCTTGGAGGAACACACACCAAGTTACAGCCAGATCGGTCTATTTGTTTGTGTTTGGCATTCATTTGAATCGAGGAAGTCGAGTGATTTTCAAAAACTGGACGAAAAAGAATTTCGTGTGTTGATTAAACATTACTTTATGAAAGGCAAAACGCCTCAAGAGACTAAAGAGAAGCTTGGAAAACATTATGGTGACTGTGCACCTTCGATTAGAACAGTTTATAAGTGGTTTCAAAATTTTCGGAGTGGCCATATGGGCACAAGTGACGCTGAACGTTCTGAAAATCACTCGACTTCCTCGATTCAAATGAATGCCAAACACAAACAAATAGACCGATCTGGCTGTAACTTGGTGTGTGTTCCTCCAAGAGATGCTACTAACTAAATCTAACCTTGATACGCGCCAGTAGTGTCATCTCTCTGACTTTGCACGGACTTTTCAAACGACCCTCGTATGTTTTGACTCCGATCGGGTCATTATCAATACTAATTAAAAAATTTTAATTTAATGCAATAATAATCAGTTATTTAAAAATAGGCATTAGTTATAAATTTTAACGAAATTGCAGATGTTAGATATCCTTCATAGATTCAGAAAGGCACAGTAAGATAACACAGAATAGGCTGCCTTAGTAAAAATTCATTATAATAGTAGATATTTGTTATCGTGACGAGTAAAAATCAGTAAAGACATTATATTTATAATATATTCTGTTGGAAAATGTAGTCGTATAAAAATATATAAATTGATATTATATAAATAATTGTCAATTTTTTTAAATAACGTGGTTAAAATGAAAACAATAAATAATTTATATAAGTATACTTTGATTAATGTGAATCAAACAAATTAATTTAGTCAATCCAATGATGAATCAGTAAGAAAAAATATTTCTTTATAATAAAAAAGATACAAGTATTGAGAAATATATACCATCTGATCAATTTTGACCCGGACTGGTCCATTTAAACCGCGCGCGTAAATTGAATCGGTAAAAAATTTTTTTTTCTAGATTGGTACAACCTTCTCTGACATTCGTGTGAAATTTGAGCGGGATACGTCAGTTAGTGTGTGTTTGGCAGCCATTTGTTTACGACGCAAAAAGTTTCTCTGGCGATTTTTACTATGAAAAAAAAAAATTGAACAACGAGTTTGCTTGAAATTTTGTGTTTCCAATGGAATTACGGCTACGGAATCATTGAAAATGTTGCAGAAGTGTTTTGGGGAGTCTACTCTATCGAGAACGCAAGTTTTGAGTGGCATAAAGCATTCAGTGAGGGTCGTGAGGTCGTAGAAAACTTGTCTCATGCGAGTCGTCCATCCACCTCTGTTAACGACGATAACATGGAAAAAGTGAAGGAAATTGTGCTTGAAAATCGTCGTGTTGGCATTAGAGAGATAGCAGAAGCTCTCAACATCTCTTATGGATCGACTCAACACATTTTGGTTAATGTTTTGGATATGAAGCGCATCGCCGCCAGACTCGTACCGAAAGACCTGAATTTTCCAGCCTGATTGTGACTGAATTTTTGGCCAAACACGAAATAAAAGTCATCGCTCAGCCACCGTATTCGCCAGATTTGGCTCCCTGTGACTTTTTCTGTTGCCGAAACTCAAATATCCGCTCCGGGGAACGCGCCATGAATCGATTGAGGCCATAAAAAGAAATTCGCTGAAGGAACTAAAGGCCATCCCGGCCGAGGCCTATAAGAATTGTATGGAAAATTGGATTAATCGTTGGCATGCTTGTATTGGCTCAGAAGGAGGCTATTTTGAAGGCGATCATAAAAATTTGTATAATAAAATACATAAAATTGTTGTTTTTTTTAACCAGTCCGGGTCAAATTTGATCAGATGGTATGAGCAAACATGCAATGGAATTCAATTAAATTTTTGTAAGAACTACAAAGTTGTTTGGAGAATAAGATGAGATTGGTATAGAAAGAAGAAAATCAGTGAAATATTTTTCCTTGACTTGAACAAAAGTATTATTATACATGTAGTCATATTTATTATTTAACAAATACTTTAATTTAAATTTATTAAACGTAGCTCAAATATATAATATTGTATATAAATAAAAGAGCACAAAGCCACACACTGACTTTCGTTAGCAAAAGTCATATATTTAAAAATTCATCAAATTGATATAAATAAACATAACTATTTCGGCCAAGATGTGGTTATCTTCAAAATGGAAAATAATTAAATAAGTAAAATAACGAGGTCGATACAATTTTGAATCAACATGATAAAATTAATTACAAAAATGAACGCAGATCATATAACAGATTTTTCTAACAAGAATTAAGCCAATGTCGATTGAGTAATTCGTCAGTTAATCCTCATGTATTTGGTCTAGTAATGATTGCCGTGTATCACAAAATTTCCAAGTTCAAAATAAATAGTTATGAAACAAATTTTCTGTTTTTACAGCGCAAAATATTTTTTTATATAATTTTTTATATAATTTCTTATATAATTTTGTGCTTTTAAAGCAGGGAAGTGTTTCTAAAAGTAGAGAATTTAAATTACGTGAATTACCTCTCTGCAAAATTTAGTCCAGTTAACTGCTCTGTGTGATGATATATTTATTTCTTTTTCTAGAAATGTCTACTTTACAAATACAACTTTTTTGCTTTGAAACAACATTTTTTTATAAATTTTTTTTGTTAACAACTTTTTAACGAATAACAAGCGATGGCTAAAATTTGTTCAAGGTCACACAGGGTTATGACCCTAACAACATATGTTAAGGTCAAGGTCATTGCAGGATAGTCCCTTATAGTAAATAATTACCAAACTTGGAAATTTTGTGATACACGGCAATCGTTACAAGACACGAGAATTAACTTGACAAATTAATCAATCGACACTGGCTCAACTCTTGTTAGAAAAATCTGTTATTGTATGATCTGCGTTCATTTTTGTAATTAATTTTTATCATGTTGATTCAAAATTGTATCGACCTCGTTATTTTACTTATTTAATTATTTTACATATTGAAGATGATCACATCTTGGCCGAAAACGTTTATGTTTATTTATATTAACTTGATAAATTTTTAAATATATGATATTTAAATTATTTATTTTGCTAACGAAATTCAGTGTGTGGCTTTTTTACTCTTTTAAAGATACTTTAATCTTTTTCGAAGATAAATAATGCCTACGAGACCCAATATCCACGTGTAAAAAATTGATGATTGATGGTGCGCTTTGCCCCTGCGAGAGGAGAAGAGAGAAGGCAGCACTTCCTTTCGTTCTGTATGCATGGCATTACATCTTATTACTCGTAGAGGGTGTCCCAAAATTAACGCAAGATTTGAATTAAATAGAAAACACAGCTTTTAGTCTTTTGATTGTTATTTTTTTATTGAATCATAAAGTACATAGGATAGGGTTATTTATGGAATAACACATCGGGCAAATGGCCTCCACGGCTTTGCATGCACATACGCACTCGTTTGTCGAAATTTTCCATGACCATTTTGCATAAATGTGGCTGAATTTCGTTGATGCAGCGTTGAATCTCCTCCTTTAATGCACGGGTGGTTGTGGGCTTGTTGACATAGACCTGTGATTTCAAATAACCCCATAAAAAGAAATCTAATGGTGTTAAATCACACGATCTAGGGGGCAATTTTGGCGATTAACAAAGCCATCAAGGTGAAAATGTGCTTCATCGCTTAGGATGATTTTGCTCGAAAAATCAGCATCCATTTGTTGATGATTCAATAATCCATTCAACGAACTCATTTTCACTAACCCTAAACTGTCAGCTGTTAAATTGTTTTTTTTTTGGGTTGCCAACACTTTACTGCACAAATGGCGGCAAATTCAAATCTTGCGTTAATTTTGGGACACCCTTTATATACACTGATAAGAAATTACAACTCGTATCCACAGTAAAATTTCTTATAATATCTTTTTCATTATTTTAAATGCTGAAATATTGCTTTGTTCGCTTGCCCGTTATCCGATTTACTCTCCAAAAACGTCAGATTATGGGTCCAGAACGCTACGCGAGATCGAGACACACAGACAACGGATAAGAGTAAGATTAAGCGAACTCGGTCAGAATCATGGTTAGAGAGGATTGCAAGTAAGTGGGAGAATTCTTCAAAAAGAAAGGATTACACGAGAAAGCGAATACGAGAAAGGATATAGTAATAAATAAAATAAAACTCGACAAATTTGACGGACAGAATTACACGTCATTTAAGTTTCAGCTAAATCTTGCAATAGCTGCAAAAGAACTGACAAGTTATGTCAACGGTTCAAACATTAAACCTGAGCTGGCATCTACAGATAATAATTGCTGCATAGATACAGGAAGATGCGCGTGCAATGTTACTCATTCGCCAGATGTCGTTAATAATTCAAAGCCATTACTTTTTGGATGTACGGCGTCAAAGAACATGACGATAAAACTTGAGACCACGTATGCAATGAAATCACAAGTGGCTAAACAGTCCACATGGGAACCACATGGGGGTTCTTACAATATTGGATGCAGGCGATTCTATAGCAATTCACATATCAAATATTGATTTTATAGTAAAACAATTAAAAGATATGGGTGAAACAATTATTGATGATTGTGTCATTATACAAGTACTACGCAATTTGCCACGCAAATATCGTGGCTTTACGATGGCATGGAATTAATGAAAGCAAATCGCAAAACAATGGCGACACTAACTGTTTTTACAGGAAGATGCAACGATGGCAATGCTTGATGATGCACGTGCAGCATATAGAGCAGGGACAGAGAAGGAAGAATAGCGACCAGAGAATAAAGGAACAGTAATCGTGATAATAAAGATGAGAAATATGATTCATCCAATCAGAAACCGGACCGGACATGTTGGATTTGTAATGAGCATGGCCAAACGTGATTGTTCAACATACAAAAACAAGGGATGCAAAGAAGAACAATCAGATGCAAATGGAAACACAAACGAAAGCAGCCTTTATAAGCACAGTCATAAAAGCCGGCAATATAAACATGAATTATTGGAGCTATGATAGCGGTGTAATGTAAATGACAACTAAGCGAAAATGATTTAAATTAATGGTATCGGAGCGACAAAGAATCGTCATCGCAGACATGACAAATATCTGGTCGAGGCCGCATTGACATTCGTACTCATGGCAATTGGGTGGATGCTAAATTAAACAACATACTATATGTGCCGGAGCTGGATAAAAATTTATTTTTACTGACAGCAATGACACGTCAAGGATATTCAATGGGTAAACCAGCGAATACTATCCATTTTACAAAGAACGGTAGAACTGACGTTTCAACAATATTTGATGGCAATTTCTACATAACGCAGTTTGTTGTATTCGAAATCATGTCAGGATATAGCGCACAAACGGATGATTTGTATGTTTGCATAAACGTTGGTCACTTTTATATAAATGCTGTAATAAACACCATCAAAAGTGGCGCCGTGAACAATATTAAGATAAATGTCATTATCATAAATATCATTGATCTTTTTTTATGATATTTGTAAACAGGGTAAACAGGCGAGACGACCATACTTCTGGTCGGACAATAAAAAAGCATCGCAACCGAGCGAATTGATCTACTCAGATGTGTGCGAGCCATTCTCCAAGCCTCACCGCGAGACTCAAGATATTTTGTCGTATTCAAAGATGACCACATAGGATTCCGAGTGGTTCAGTCAATTCGACATAGAAGCGATGTGTTCGAGTGGATAAAAAAATTTCATAGAAGAAATTTGTTCAACGATGCGAGACAGAAACAGATCATCGAGTCAAAGCGCTGCGCTCAGACTACGGCACCGAATTTATAAATGCAGCGATAAAGGAATTTAATGATTCAAAGGGGATCCGACATGAAAAATCACCATCATACACGCCAGAAACAAATCGTCAAGCTGAGTGCGAAGTAAACACATTGGTAGAATGCGCTCGCTCGATGCTAATTGACAGCAGTTTGGATAAAGAAGTGTGAACAGAAATTGTTGTATTATATGTGCGGCATCTTCTAAACTTACATCTAATAAGCATCAGAAATTAAAAACACCCTTTGAAGCATGATATAACAAGAAACCAAAGATAAAACTATCGTATATTTGGATCAACCGCTTTTGTTCAGATGTCAAAAGTCAATCGATCCAAACTAGAATCGAAATGTGCCAAAATTATTATGGAGAATCAAAGATATATTGCCTGTGGGATGCCGCTCGACGTAAATAATAGCAAATACATATACGTAATGACATCATGCTGTAAGGTACACGCGAGCTGTTACAAAGCGACTTCTGTTACATCGAACATTATTACGGAATGCCCGAATAATGACAGCGACGAAGATGATAAGGATCTCTATGACTCCGTCCAAGAAGAAGATTTTGATGGACAGCATTCAGAGAGCACACCACAAAGAAGAGGAGATGGAGAATATAGTATAGACGAATACAGGGAAAACTGCAGTACCGGAACACGAAAGAAATGACGGATAAATAGCGTGTTAAC